TTCTCTGGTTTGCTTTTATTTAACACTTCTCTTAGGTGTAAGTGTCTTCATCTGTTTTGCTTTATGTATAAGACTTTTGATAGGTTTAATTCCTCACACTTTATGTGGTTTGGGCCTATATAAGTTTTATGCTAGCTGCATTCAGGGCTGCTGGTCTTTGAGACATGAGTCTACCAGCAGTCCTTCAGCTCTCCAATAAAACCCCACAATTTGGCCTCTTAAGTGATGGCTTCTCTATTTATCACAACTGAGTTTTGCAACTTCCTCACTTGTAAGAGGGAATGATGCCACCTATTGTTTTTGTTGTTGTTGTTTTGTTTTGTTTTTCTGTGACAGTACTAGGGCTTGAACTCAGGGTCTGAGCACTGCCCCTGAGCTGTTTTGCTCAAAGCTAGTGTCCTACCACTTGAGCCAGAGCACCCTTCCATCTTTTGTGAGTAGTTTATATTAGAGACTAGAGTCTCACAGCACTTTTCTGCTGGAGTTAGTTTTGAAACACGATCCTCAGATCTCCGCCTCCTAAGTAGCTAGGATTACAGACATGAGCTACTGGCACCTGATTTTTTTTAAAAGCATAAGGCCTTCAGTTAAAGGACCATACATACACAGACAGAGACACAGACACAGACACAGACATAGACACAGCCATACACACACATACACACACACACACACATACACACATGAAAATTAGGAGAGACTTTTCTACAGTGGTGTAAACTTTAAATCTGCTCCCATAACAATCAACTTTTTTTAAGCTAGTGATTTGTATAAAGACAAACAATGCTTATTGAATTTGGAAGGTTCCCAAAAGTAGAACAAAAGTAAAACCAAGATTTCAACAGGATGGAGTAGGGGGGTTGGTGTGAGAGAATGGGCCAAATCACCATAGTATTCAGTGGGTAAAAATTCAAAAGCCTGCAGTTGGGTTAAGAAAAGAACGTCATTGGAAAGCACAGGAGAGAGGAAACCAGCATATAAAAAACTACATTAAAAAAATAATCAATGTGAATCACAGTGCAGGGTAGCTGCCAAGAAAGCTAACACAAACTTGGGCTATATTACTACAAGAGTAGTGCCAGAAGAGGAAGAAATGGTTTCAATGCATACTCTAATATCTATTCCACCTGGATGCTTTCTAGAGAGAAAATAACCAGAAGAATTGAGGGTCTGAAAGACTGCATGATCTGAGGATCAGGTGAACAAAATGAAGATAGATCATGAATGTAGACATGGCTTGAGAAAGAGGAGATTTAGAAATAACATACTTTACATCTTTAAGTGGAAAAAAGTCCTTTTACCAAAAGAGTCTCAATGTTTTGTGTAGGATTTAACATTAAGAGTTTTTCATGCCTGTAATCCTAGCTACTCAGGAGGCTGAGATCTAAGGATTGTGGTTTGAAGCCAGCCCTGACAAGAAAGTGCCTGTGAGACTCTAATCTCCAAAAAGCTACTCAGTAAAGCTGGAAGTGGTACTGTGGCTCAAGTGGTAGAGCACTAGCCTTGAGCACAAAGAGGCTTAGGGACAGTACCCAGGCCTGAGTTCAAGCCCCACAACTGACCAAAAAAAAACAAAAAAGACGTTCAGAGTTGGCTTCCAAAAGGGATAAATTTCAGTTCAGTAACAGAAGAAACTATGGTCACAAGGTGGCTGCTACAGCTCCAAGCACCATAACCATAAAGTAGGAGAAGAAAGGCATCTGCTTTTCTATTTCCTTTTTCCAGGATACAAAACATCTTTTCCAGAAACTCCTTGCAAATTTTTCCCCCTGGTACTTGAGCTAAGCACTGTCCCTTAGCTTTTTTGCTCAAGACTGGCATTCAATCACCGAAGAGCCAGAAGTGGAGCTGTACTTCAGTGGTAAATTGGAGAGAAGAGTCTCATGGACTTGTCAGCCCTGGGTTATTTCAAATTGCTATCCTCAGATCTCAAGTTCCTCAGATTTTTTGAGACAAGGTCTCAGTGTATGGCCCAGGCTAGCTTCAAACTTGTGATCCTCCTGCCACAGCCTCTTGAGTGGTATTGGCATTATCAGCATTCACCATCACACACAGCTGAATTATTTCATTGTCTAGAACTGAATCCTATGGCAACCCTTAGGCTTAAGGAAGACTGGAAAATTGAATGGCACCAGGGTAGCTGAGACAAGCTTAGATCAATTATGATTAGATTAAAATGCCAAAACCCTAACAATCCTAGAGTGCAATGTGCAAAGAACTTGGGTCTCTAGGGAGGGCGGGGGGGAGAATGGGAAGGGATGGGAAGGGGAAACAAAGGAGGAGGCTACAATGCTTGATAAGAAACATACTCATTATCTTGCCCATGTAATTGTAACCCCTCTGTACAGTACCTTCACACACACAAAAAAAAAGAACTTGGGTCTCTGATGACATTACTGAGATGATCAATAGCCAACTTCCAGTCTTCTTGGAAGGAGGCCCAAAAAAAGTGCATTTAAGTGGTTGCTATTGGATTCTCTGATACTTACAAATACATCCTGGTGGATAGAGATCATGCTGTTTATGAAGGTGCTTGGTTATACAACTGATTGGACTATTTAGTATCTATTTTATTCCAAGCACTTGTGAAACTAGAGATATAATGATGAGCAAAACCAGACAAAGTCATGGCTATAAACTCATGGAGCTTAGACAAGTGGGAAAAACAAGGCACCACTAATACATGCCATAAAGGAGGAAGGATACAGTGATTCTGTGAGCTGTGAGGATACTGTAGGAGCATGTGACAGAAGAATTGCCCTGATGGCGAAGCTACAGAAGGATTTCCTGAGAAGTGAGACTGAAATGGGTGTATATCAGGACTAAGCCTTATGTTCTTTGGGGTTTTTTTTGTTTTGTTTTGTTTTTGTTTTTTGTTTTTTTTGGGGGGGGGTCCGGTCATGGGCCTGAACTCTGGGCCTGAGCGCTGTCCCTCAGCTCTTCAGCTCAAGGCTAGCACTCTACCACTTGAGCCATAGCGCCACTTTCGGGTTTTTTTTTTCTGGTTATGTGGTGCTAAGGAATCGAACTCAGGGCCTCACGCATGCAAGGCAAGCGCTCTACCACTGAGCCACCTTCCCAGCCCCTTGTTTTGTTTTGTGTTTTGCTCAAGGGTGGCACTCTACCACTTGAGTTACACTTCCACTTCCCATTTAACTGGAGATGAGATTTTTCAGATTTGTCTGCCCAGGCTGGCTTTGAACCTCAATCCTCAAATCTCAGCTAGGATTGCAAGTGGTGATTATAGGTGTGAGTCACCAATGCCTGGATCTGAGGTCTGAATATGTATAGTAGAGCTGCTGTCTCTGTCCTGAATGGCCTGTCTCTTATCCACTACCTTTTGAAAAGCTCCTCACCATGCCAGTGGTCTTCAGTATCACTCTTCTAGGAAATCCTTTCAACTTGAAGTGACCTATTCCTTCCTTTAGCCCTAGTAGATAGGCTTTTATTCTGCCTTACAATCTGACTGCTTGCTCAAAGAACCTCTTCTCCCGAGACCTTCTCCTGTAAGACATAGATGATCCTAACATCCTAGGAAAAGTCTAGCAACCTGGATTGTTGCCAACATTTAACATTCTAAGTAGTTGTTCAAAGAAGTTTCAGCTCAAGGTGCCAACTTACAAGTATAATGCTTCTTGATCAGTGCCACTTAAGTGAACTTCAAACTGAGTTCAAATCCCAGTAAGGCCAAAAGAAAAACTTTTTAAAAAAACCTAGTAAAATAATGATTATTATTATTGGGAGCTGGAGGGGGTATGACTGACTCAATGGTAGAGTACTTGTCTAGCATGTTAGAAGGTTTGATCCCTGGCACAATAACAATAGTAACTACTATTATACCCCTGCTGGCTCTCATGCATATAAGCTGGAGTCTCCCTGGTTTATTACTTAAGATTTTATAACCCTTCTTCCTAGGAGCATGGTTTTCTCAAGGATGAATATCTTTTACTTCTTCGAGGTGAACTAGCTTTTTTTCAGTATTTTTAGGACAACATTTCTCTTGGAAGGCACAATGCTCTTCAAATTCAAGTAGGCTTATAAATGGGATATTAATGAAAAGTACCCAACATCATAATCGCACCCTGTTGAAAGTGGATGCCATCTAGAGATCATTGAAGATGGTAAGAGATCTTCCCTGGGCATTCATCTGGTTCTCTGAGGTGGCTTTGTCCCCAGGGGCCAGCAGAGTGTCAATCACTTTCCCTAGTTCTAACATTTACCCCATTAGGGACACACTGCAATAGAGAGTTCAAAGTTCTCCCCTCAGTGGAGGTATTGCTGGGTTCTAAGCAAGGGCAGGCCAGCAACCTACCAATGGCGATAAGTCCAAAGCCGCCCAAGATCGCCCCAGTCAACTCCCAAGCAACCAGGACTTCACAAGGGCCTTCTCTCTTTTCCCTGGTGGCAATATAGGGACAACGCCTTCAATCTGGTTTGATTCTTGCTCAGCAAGCGCAGTGACCTGCAGGAAACTCGCTCCTCGGCGATCAGGGGGCACCAGGGACCCTGTAAGGACACCACACCATCTCTCCTCTTCCCCTGTAAGGTCTGTTCAGGGACCTGAGCGTCCTCCCAGGCCTGGCCCTGCCCGCTGCAGCTGAGCCGGTTGAGACAGAGCAGGGTCGACTGAGAGCCTCTCCGCCTGAGGCCAGCGTGCTCCCCGGCCCTCCCCCTTCCTCCTCCCCCTCCCCCCCTCCCTCCTCTTCCTCCTTCCCTCCCCCTTCCCCCCTCCTCTCCCTCTTCCTCCTCCTCTTCCTCCTCCTCCCCTTTCCCCTCCTCCCCTCCTCCCCTCCCCCTTCCCTCCTCTCCCTCCCCCTCTTCTCCCTCCTCTTCCTCTCTTCCCCTCCCTCCTCCTCCTCCTCCTCAGCTCGGTCACTGGCTGCATCTCTGTGGCCTCCGCACAATAGAGGCTCCGCCCTCCCTCCGCGCCGGCGCTCCGCGGCGCCTTCCCCAGCCTCGTTCCCCTCCCGCTGCTGCCGCTGCCGCTGTCCGCTCCGCGCCCTGTTCCCGGTCCCCGTGCGCCCCGGTGCGCGGGACCCCGCCTTGCACCTGAGCCCAATCCCGCGGGAGACACGCTCGGTGAGCCGGATCTCCAACTCTTCGCTGCGCCGGCTCTCCACGGACTTGGCAGCTTGTACCGGGAAGGAGATGCCCAGGGTCTCCGAGGCTCACCCTCCGACTGCACCCAGATTTAGAAGGCATTGAGAGCAGCCTCAGTGGAGCCACTCCGGCTCCAGCCAGTTATCTTCTAGCCTGGGTCTTTGCCGAGATCCCCCAGCCCCGCCCCTCCTCGCCACCCAAGCCAGTCTCCATAGGGGCTGAGGTCCCTGTTGCGGTATCCCTCATGGCCAAGCCTCTACCGCTAGTTCTCTGCTTCACTCTGGTTGTGGTCCGGGTTTGGGGGTCCAGCACTCCCTCCACGGGGACGAGCGAGCCCCCTGATGTGCAGACGGTGGGGCCCACGGAGGATGAGACTCTGCAAAACGAGGCGGACAACCAGGAGAACGTTTTGTCTCAGGTAGGGCTACAGTCTGGTGTCCTCCCCTTTTGCCCTGGGTGGTGGAGGTGGGGGAATGTGACAAGGGCCAGAGGCTGGTCCTGGATGAAAGGGTTTTTCTTTTCCTTTGGTGGAGAGGGTAGTTGTTTCCCCTTCCATCACCAAAGGGAAGGGCATTTGCTTTTCTTTCATCAGAGTAATTCTCCAGGGAGTGGGGCTCCTCTCAAAACATGGGTTCTTTCAAGGTTATCCCATCAGGAGAAAGGAGGAAGCTTCCACACTCCCTGAGAAGCACACAACTATGCTTTGGTTTAAGGGTTGTGGAAAGTGAACCACTTGCCCACGTGGCTGTTTGTCAGAACTGGAATGTGTAAACAGGAGGGTATGTTGGGCAAGAGGCAGATGGCATCAACCATGGGAGAAGTTTGGGGATATAGGGTGAGACCCTTACCCTTGCAGGTAGAATCAGCAGGTGAAGACAGAACTACAACATATGAGAGTCCCTCAGAATCCCAGAGGGATTCATGACAAAATCTGGTGTTTGGGGGAGGTAGAGTAGAAATGCAGAGCCACACAGGTCAGTGTGTTCTCAGTGGGGGCAAGTGGCATGACTACAGGCAAAGCATCACCATTGACAAATCTGACTCAGTTCTCAAAACACACTGAATTCCCTTCAGCTAGCACCACAAAGCTACAGCATTGGAGACAGGTAGAAGAACCCAGCTCTAGAAAGAATTCAACCCAACTCAAAATACTGTGAGGGTTACTTGGGAGTGTTGGTTTCATGCTTTCCAGAACTGGTCTGATGAGGTGCAGTGGGTATCATCACTCTGGTCCTTAAAATGAGAGGTGTCAGAGACCCTGAGCACATCACTTACACCACCACAAGACCCTCATACTGGGTCTTATTGCCTTCTTGTAGAGATGGCCACCAGCTCTACTTTGGGACTTCTCTAACATTAGTCTTTCCTCTTTAATAATTATGCTAAATTAAGCCCTATACCCAGAACCTCCCACTAACCCCTAAATCGAAAACACAAAATCATTCTAATTGGGGATTCGGAATAATGTCCACAAAAGCTTTCCTGAAACCAGAACCTCTTGAATGGAAGGCACCCACCCATGGTTCTGAGCAGAAGCAGAAGTGTGTAGGAATCTAGGCAGTGTTTCAGAAAATAGCTACAACTTACAATCAGAATATCGAGAGACCAGCTCCTCCAGTCACCCTGAGCTGCTATTCCTTCCTCCACTGGTCCATTCTGCATCTGACAACAGCTCTAAAGCAAATGTGAGTACTATAAGAAACTGGACCTCAGCAAGGAAAACATTATATTCCTTCTTCCTCCTAGACAGCATCTCAAGGAATGTTTCCAGTCAAATAAGCTCCATGGCTATCTGAAGGGAACCCTGGCTTTGGGGACTTAGGGAGTGGGAGTGGGGGGAGCTGCTTAGGGTAGGAGCTACAGAAAGCCTAGGTTGTTGGTTTTCAAGTCTGGGGAAGCTGGCAGGAAGAGCAAGTACCCAGAAGGAAATGGTCAGCCATGTAGAAGCATCAAGCACAGCCAACCCATTGGTGCTGAGTTTGGGTTCAGAAGCTACTCTCAGAACTAAAGGAACCCTTAGGCTGAGCAAACTCCCTGACATCTGGATTTATCCCTGCCCAACTTTCTTGCTCCAAATCTAACCCATCCTTTGAGGCTCAGAGCAGCTATCACTTTCTCCAAGAAGTCCTGGCTAGTTCTCAGCTGGGGCCACTGGCAGTACCCACTGTACTTGAAGCTTTGCTCTTTGGGGGCGTTTGTCTCTGTCCTCTCTATGTGATTGTCATTTATCTGCCTCCTACACTGTGGGCCCTTTGGGCGCAAGTTCTGGGTTGGGCCTTCACTTCCTCTATGCATCATCCCCCCACACCCCATGTCCTCTCAGAGGTATACTCAGAAAGTGTAGAATGAATGAGAGATTCATGAAAAAAGAGAAACTAGTAGTCCTTACATTTGAAGACCATCTCTCCAATCCCTACTTTATCTTCCTCCTTTTCAAATCTAACTCAGGGATTCTAAGTCACAAAGGCTACTGAAATAACGATAGGATCATCTTTTTTTTTCCTTTAAATGATAAAAAGCCCCCAGAGAAATACCCAGCTTTCCAAGACAAATGAAGAAAGCTGAACTCTGAATGCCTTCAAGAAATGTCCGAGTCAGCAAATTGCCTTGCGATGACCTACTCACTCCATAGTTCTGAGCTGTCTGAGGTCACTGGCTGGGGCAGGACATTTGACAGAATGAATAGACAGCCTGCTTAAAGGAGCCTGGATGACACCTGTGTTTGCATACTCCCCAACTCATTTTCTCTGTGTGTCTAGTTGTTGGGGGACTATGACAAGGTGAAGGCTGTATCCGAGGGCTCAGACTGTCAGTGCAAGTGTGTGGTGAGACCCCTGGGCCGAGATGCCTGCCAGAGAATCAACAAGGGTGCCTCCAGGAAGGAAGACTTCTACACTGTGGAAACTATCACCTCAGGCTCATCCTGCAAGTGTGCCTGTGTTGCTCCCCCATCCGCCCTCAATCCCTGCGAGGGAGACTTCAGACTTCAGAAACTGCGGGAGGCAGACATCCAGGACCTGAAGGTAGGAGCTAATGTAGGCAATGCTATGAGTCAGAAGGTATTTTGGGGATCCCTGATCCCCTATAGGGCCATATCTAGGGATGGAAGGCCTCTGAAGGACGTCAGGCCTGGTCCTTGGAGTCTTGTATGTGGACCTGAGACTAGTGTTTTCAGCTCAGGTCTCAGGGAGATATTAGAGCAGAGTGTTCCTGCTCCTCCTTGTAGAGCCAGGAGGCCAGGTGTAGCAGCATTTGCCTGGCCCAGCTGACCCGAAGAACTTAGTGCTCTCCAGGAAAAGTGATGTCATGATTTACTGTCAGGCCAGCATATATGTTGAAGGAGTGAAAGATGAAGAGAACATTGAGCCTTTTAGTCTTTGGCACTATTGCTGGGTTAATGCAAGGAAGGAAGGCTCAGAATCTGTCCTAATGGGTTCCTCAAACTGATCAGGGACTGTGGTCCATGGTATGAAGGAGCCCAGGTCCTACCTGGGACGCCCCAAGGTTTGACTAAAGGCTTCTTCTGACCTTGCCCTTTTCTGTTCACTTATAGTGTGGGATGGTGGAACAAGCTAGGTTTAAGAGTTTGACAGACTTGGGTTCAAATCACTGCTGTGTGATCCTGATTCTATTATTTCACTTGTCTTATCTCAGCCTCTTAGAATGAAATATGGACATATTATACTTGGAGGGGCAGTGAGAATCAGAGATGACAAGTGTACTTGACTTTCCAGGAAGCATGACTGTGTAAATGAATGACTGGCCATGTAATGTGTACCTGCTGTACCTGGCTTGGTATCTTTATATTGGGGTTTACATTGAGGGCCTGTGCTTGAGCCATGGTTCTACACCTTATTTTTGTTGGTTATTTTAGAGATGGAATTTCATAGTTTTTCCACCAAGTTGACTTCAAACCATCATCCTTTGGATCTCAGCCTCCTGAGTAGCTAGGATTACAAGTGTGAGCCATTAGCACCTTGTTCACTGGTATCTCTTTAAAACTAGTGGTGTTTACCAGTACAGGGAACGTCCTTGGTTTTGGGCCAGATTGCTCAGAGCTGCAGTTCTACTTTCTGGACCAAGTACCACAGTGGCTCCATTCTAGGATTGGTCTCTGTGGGACTTCTGGAACCACACCAGGCATAATTTTGATTGAGAATCAGGACTTCTTCATGGTACATACTAAGCAGCTATGGCTCTTCACCACTATCCAGCTGTTTTCCCCTGGTGTGGAAGGAGCTCTTTTAATCATGAACACTTCTGCATAGCATTCTTCATCTGGAAAGAAAGCTGGGAGACAGTGGGGAATCGCAATTGCAGATGGGAGGCCCAGCAGACAATCCCAAGAACTGGTGCTTGACAGAAAGGCTCCATTTCAGGATCTCTCATCTGTCCCTTTCTTTGCCTGCACTCTGTATGCCCTGAATACTGCCAGAATCACAGAATCATGGCCACCTTCCTCAAGGCAAGGAGACAGTATTGAAAGCTATGAGAAGGTTGGATGCCACTTCAAACATGGGCCATTAGGTCTCTTGTACTCTAGAGTCAGTCTAGCTTTTTGTGTGAAGAAAAGACTTGCTGGTATCTTCCAAGGCCTTTGAGTGGCCCGGAGAAGTTGAAAGGTTCAGAAGCATATCCTCAAGGTATTACTTTTATAGCCATTCTGCAGAGTGTTTATAGATCCCCTGTTAAAGCCAGGCACACAGCAAGGTATCGTGAAGAGGCAGAGATGAAGAGGGCTACTATCCTCTCTCTTCATTCCTTTATTTATAATGGAGGCATAGACAACCTGTGGTGCTGTCTAGATTGCAGGTTTACTCTTTATTTTCTTTTCATTCCAAAAGGCAGAGTACACATTATCGTTGGGTTTGCCTCTGTTTCTGAGGACCACTTCTCAATTCCTGGATAGTGGCTTTCCTGTTTGGTCTCCAACATGTGGATGTGAAAGAAATCTTCTCTCATGGTATTTTCTTAGCCCCAGCCCTGGACTAATCCTTTGTCCTTGTTTCTTAGCTCTCTACAATCATAGACATGCTGGAAGGAGCTTTTTATGGCCTGGATCTCCTGAAGCTACATTCAGTCACCACCAAGCTCGTGGGGCGTGTGGACAAACTGGAAGAGGTAAGGAAGATTCTGGTCTCCCTGGCTTTCTCTTGGTCTATCACCAAAGTTTCTCAAACTTATCAATATATACTTTTGGAAAGCATATGCCTTAGATTTTATCCATCCTATTTTGGGGGGAAAATGGACATAAATCTTTACCCAAAATGATGTCAAATTACAGGTAACAATTTGTGAATTGAAAATATAAAATCCTTATTTTCATATATAAGAATCTTGTCACCACATTGGCCTTGATTTCCAGGAAACTTAGAGATAAGTACAATGTACATGTACAAATGAGTAGGTTTCTTACTTCCAGTTTTAAGGTGGGGTCATCTCACTCCTGAGTATATAGTTGTTAATTTCTTTCCTCCCTCATCCTTTCCCTCCTTTTCTGTCCTTGTTTTCTCTTTTTGTGGTGCTGGAAATTGAACCCAGGACACCAGGATGTTTCATGCTAAGCAAGCAATAGTGCTAGTCCCTTCAGCTCTGGTTATTAATTTGCTAATCTGCTGGTTTCTTGTTATGATTTGGTTTTTAACTGTTTTAGAGCATGCTTGTGCACATGTGTGTATGTGTGTGTGTCCATTTTAGAGAAAGATAAAAGTAACTGCTTTAGATAATATTACCTACTGCACATCCAGACTTCTCAGGCCCAGGAGTGGACAAGTATTTTAATTTTCATAGACAAAGATGACACATTATTCTGACTGGGTTTGGAGAGATACATACCTTGGTACCATGGTTTTCATCTTGTGGTGTGTAATGTCATGTGATGATGTGGTAGTAGTTGTAGGCATAAAAACCTTGATATTGGCTGGGAGTATGACTGGGAGTGTTTGCCTAGCATGCATGAAGCCCTGGGTTTGATTCCTTAGTACAACATAACAAAATAAAAGAAAATTAAAAGAGAAAAAATTATTTTAAAAAAGCCTTGATATTGCTTTGCTGCTGAAATGCTCAAACATTTGCATAAGAAATTTAGTTACCACAATGTGTTGTACAAAACATCACAACTTCGGGGGGTAGGAAAAGGAAGAGTTGGGGAGGGGAGAGTTCGGGAGGTGGGGAGGGAAGGGATGGTAGGGGGAAAACAAAGGAGGAGGTAACAATGCTCAATATGAAATGTACTCATTACCTTACTCATGTAACTATAACCCCTCTGTACAGTATTTTTACAATAAAAACATATATAAAAATACTAAAAAAAGAAATTTGGTTACCAGTAGTGATCATCACTCAGATCTATCGATAAGATACTTAAGCACCTACTTTACAAACTGGAACTTGAGATAGCTACCTGAAGAGCTGCAGTTTCAGTTTTTAGAGAGTTGCAGCTTCAAGTAGAAGTTTTTAGAGAGTTACTCTAAGTGGTAAATGTAATTATCTCATGAACATTATCAATATTCCTAATGAAACAAATGGGTCTATTATAGAGAAGCTGGGGTTTCCTCAGAAGTGATTCGTAGACATAGGATGTGAACATAGTAAGGATTTCTAATTTGTGTAGAAAGCACTGTAGTCACGATGGAGTGAAGTACTCTTTGTTTACTTCTATAAACAGTCACATCTCCATCTATATAGTTGGAATGGTAGCCTACCTATTTTCCATAGTTTCTCAGGGATTAAAAGGTAGAGTCAGAGTGATCAAAATACTTCAAAATGATTAAACACACAGCACTGGAATTGTGACCAAACAAGGATTGGGGCAAACATTCCCAAGGTATCCTGCCAAGAGTACTGGGACAAACGTGAGGAAACATTGCAGTCATGAGGATCAGTTCCAACATGCTCATTCCTCTCCTAAAAATGGACCAAAAAAGATGGGTATGGTGGCTTATACCTGTAATCTCAGTGCTTGGGGGGCTGAGACAGGAGGATCACAAATTCAAGGCCAGTCTGGCTACATAGTGATCCTGTTTTTTTTTTTTTTAAAGTTTCTAGCAAGAAAACTCCAGTTTCTTCTCCACTCACTTTTAGGTTTAGAATTTCAAGTGCTATGATGATGTACTTTCTGAATATAATTTTCCTGCAGGAGGGTCAGGAGGTTTACAATTACCTCATTTGCCAAGTGTGAGGTGTCAGGGCTCTGGGCCTGAACATTATACATGGGTTGACAAAGAAATAACCCCCTAAAAGAATCTGAACCTGTCTCAACCTAAGTTCACTACCAGAAAGCATCTCTGTTTTCAAAGGCCCTCAGAATTGTGCAAAGGTACAACAGCCTTTAAGAATTGCATTTCTGTAGGAACTGAGATAACAGCTACCTTGATAGTCATACAGTTTTCATTTCATCTAAAGAGCACAGCTTGGGAAAGATAGCTTAGTGCTTAGAGGCCAAGGTCAGATGTCCAGCCTCAGAGACCAGCTGGGCTCTGCTCAAGGACCACAGCCTGTTTCTGGCTTCTCTAGCAGTGGAGCCTTCCTGCTGGCCAATGGCAGAAATAGGGGTGAGTCTGATTACAGTGCTATTAGTCTAGCAAAAGGGTACATTGACTGAGATTTTACAAAAAGTAATTTTAGTTAAGTGTATCTCTTTTTAATTTGTAGCATATTCAGTAGCAAAACCTGGACCTTTTAATAATCCCTCTGCTTGTATAGCATTTTATAGTTTTCAAGCCTTCCATCTACATTTAGCCCACTTGTTCCTGTGTGCTGAAAAGATTGTGAGACCCAAGGAAATGCAATGCCTTGCCTGAGACCATGGTGAACTAAAGGGCTGGAGCCTTTTAATTCCTGGTCCAGGGTTCTTTCTAATCATCCCCATAAGTTTCTTCAAATCCTTGTCATGTGCCCTGTAAGCATCAGTTTTTCTTAACCAGAACTTAAAAACAATAGTTCTTCCAAGGGAATTTCTAGGCAGAACTGTGGCTGTGTCCCATATGTTCCATTAAATAAGATTATGATTGAGTTAGGGAAGTTCCCAACTCATGAGAGTTTTCCCTGGTCCCTTGGACCAGACAGTCCAAAGAATGAGTATCTGTGCTATGACAGAAGAGTCTTCAGATGACCCAGGCACCTGGGCTCTTAGAGAGGAATACTGTATCTTAGATTGAGGTCATCTGGCTGATGCTGGCTGACTGTCTGGAGTATGCAGTAATTGAAAGGGCAGGATGTTGGGTAAATGGAAAACACACTCCTTCTCCAGCCTGGCTCTGCAGGGGGAATGAAAGTGAAATCTTTTCCTCTCCTTGTATAATCTTGAGTCCCAATGGGAGTCCTTTGGGGGTCAGACAAGATCAAGGGGCAGATTGCAGGAGTGTTTAACTCAAAGTCAGATCAGTGCTTGGCAGGAGACACTTGTGTACATCCAACTTCAGCAAATAGGGAGAGTGTAGGAATGGAAACTTCATTTGCAGATGAAAGAGGAAAGAAAGAAAGGGAAATGGAATCTGAAATGTTCAGATGCTTGCTCTTGATAAAATCTGCTCTGGGAGTTCTACCTAGTGGGATGAATTTGGTTAAGCTTTTTAAATGGTAAAAAAGTAACCCATGTATAGAAAAATGCACAAATGTTTAGCTTGACAAATTATATAGTGATTACCTATAAAACCACTATCCAGTTTAAGAAACAGAACAGCGTTAATATACCCTAATCCCCCTCACACCGCCTTCCTGAGGGGAACTTTTTTTTTTTTTTGGTTGGTCTAAGGACTTGAACAAAGAGTCTGGGCATGGTCCCTGAGCTTCTTTTGCTCAAGGCTAGCGCTCTACTACTTGAGCTACAGTGCCACTTCTAGCTTTTTTTAAAAAAGTAGTTTATTAGAGATAGTCTCACAGACTTTCCTGCTCAGGTTGGCTTTGAACTATTATCCTCAGATCTCAGCCTCCTAAGTAGCTAAGATTATAGGTATGAGCCACCTGTGCCCAACATCCCTGAGCTCTTTTGTTCAGGGCTAATGCTCTACCATTTTGAGACACAGTGCCACTTTTGATTCTCTGGTGGTTAATTGAAGATTCTCAGAGAATTTCTTGCCCAGGCTGTCTTTGAACCACAATCCTTAGATCTCAGCCTCCCTAGTAGCTAGGATTACAGGGATGAGCCACCAGCCACCAGTGCCTGGCTATTTATTTTTATTTCCTGAGAGTACTGGTTTTTGAGAATCCTGGCTCTTAAATTTACCAGGCAGTATCTCTAACCCTGGAGCCTCACCTCCAGTCCTATTTTTTCTGCTGATTATTTTTAAGATAGGGTCTCACTTCCTGGCAGGAGCCTGGGTGAGACTCACCTATGTCAGACTTTTTAGTAGCTAGGATAACAGGACCACACTACCACATCCAGCTCTTCATGGAGAAGGAGTTAAAACTGTTCCTACCTGGGCTAGCATAGAACCACTGGTCTTCAACCTCTTAATAGCAAGGATTATATTACCCGGCAAAATCATTTTATTATGTTACTATGTTAATCATCTTATTTTTCCTTATAGCCTTATGCTCTAAAATGATATAATAATCCTGTTTTTGAACATTGTTTTTGAAGACCTAGGATCCTATAGAGCCATGTATTTATGTCTTAGCTTCTATGACTCAACTTTATGCTTTCAATATTTATTTGTGTTGTTGTTGCGTATCATGGTTCATTACACATAGGCACAAGTGTGGCCCAGATTCAACTCATGTAAAGAATTTTATTCTGTGCATCAAGTACATCCAGAGTACCAAAGACATGTAGGCCGTGGATTCTGAAGGAGCATATACTGCTCCCAGGAGCAGACTTATCACCAAAGTAGAGAAAAAGACAGAGGAGTGTTTATTATCTCCTGTTAACATCAGGTCTCTTCTTGGATTAAGTCATTTCTGTAAGTGCTGCAAGTCTTTGTGAAACACTCCATACACCTTTAAATGCAGGGTACCTGTAACCATTTATAAGTACTTGGACTGCCTGTGACTGTGTACACATATGCCCTTGTATATGTGTGGCTGCATATCCTGTAGGTTTGTGTGTGTGTGTGTGTGTGTGTGTGTGTGTTTCTGGGCTTGGTACTAGAGGTTAAACTCATGGCCTTCTGCTCTTTTAGCTTTTTGTGCTCAAGGCTGATGCTCTACCATTTGATATTTTTTTTTGGTCAGTCGTGGGGCTTGAACTCTGGGCGTGAGTGCTGTCCTTCAGCTCTTCAGCTCAAGGCAAGCGCTCTACTGCTTGAGCCACAGTGCCACTTCTGGTGCTCTACTATTTGAGTCATGCCTCCAATTCTGGCATTTTTTGGTCACTCGTGGGGTTTGAACTCTGGGCCTGGGCTATGTTCCTCAGCTCATGGTGAGTGCTCTTTCACTTGAGCCGCAGCACCACTTCCTGTTTTCTGAGTGGTTTATTGGAGATAAGTCTCATAGACTTTCCTGCCCTGGCTGGCTTTGAACCATGATCCTCAGATCTCAGTCTCCTTAGTAGCTAGGATTACAGGTGTAAGCCACTGTGCCCAGTGAGTTCTGACATTTTGCTGGCTAATTTGAAGAGCCTCTGAAATTTGCCTGTCCTCAGCTCTCAGCCTCTGAGTAACTAGGATTACAGGCATGAGCCACCAGTACCCAGCTATCCCATGCTTTTTAAATAAATGTATGCCTACAAGATTGTGCAGTGAGCTTTGTAGTCCTGCGCCTTCCCACATGTGATTCTTCTCTTGTACCTGCCTGCTGAAGTCTGTAGACCCTGTCCCTGAGCACAAATGGGTACAGGGAACTTCATGTGCCAACTGAAGCCTTCTCTCCAGATAACATTGCCTCCAGAGAAGATTTAAAATCCAAACCCAAAACTGGCCTTCTCCCTAGAACATGCTTACGTGGGCACTGATGAGGGTCTCCCCCAAACTAAAGGTATGGTGGATTGTTTGTTTGGGGGCCTGGAAGGAAAGATCAAAGCGGCATCCTTGGCCCTAGGAGATAGATCTTTTCACTAATATGAAAATGTAATTTTCATCTGTGCAAGCCTGGCAGTGAGTTGCAGGAGCTGCTCTCTTTCCAAATTCCCCTAGTCCACCTTCCACTCCCACCAGCACTCAAGTGCTCATACTCATTCTCATCAGGTCTGCTTCCATGGACGTGTTCATTGTAAGTCATTTTCCTCCCCCTGCAGCCTCATAGAGGGACACTGCTCCCCCCGTCTGCCTGCAGCATCTTCTGTGGAAGGCAGTGGGTCAGGAATAATGTTTCTAAGATGCATTTCAGCTTTAACATTACTTAATTCAATTTATATTTTAATATGAGTTTAAGCCAATATATTACCTCCCCTGGGGTTATATAGATCTCAAATCTCATTTGCCACTGTGGTAACGAATATAAGCTTTTTTCTTGCTAGTTAAAGGTGAAGGTCAACCCTCCATCTGCTGGCTTAGAAACAACTTTGAGCTGCCAGGCTGTGATGGAGCATGTGGCTTAGTTTTAGTGTGGGTGAAGGTACCCAGAACAGAGAAATTTGTTACCAGAGGCCAGGGATATCTTACTTTACACTTGTTCTTTCCAGGCTCTGGACCTTTTGAGTCCTCTTTGCCACCCACTCTTACCACCTGCCTCCCAGCCTAGCCCTCAGCACCTGACTCAGAGCAGATGCTCAGCAGCTGTTTGGGTGTATGTAGGCGGGGGTTAAGGTGGCAGCTGGCAGCTCCCAGAGCCCTCAGGCATGTTTGTCTGCCCCCACCAGCTGTGGTTAGAAGAAATGGGCTGCATCCTGTCTGTCCGGCCTTCAGGAGCAATGGCTACTTCCAGCTGCTCTGTCCCTCCAGCTCTCTCACCAGGGGCTGGGGGACAGCTGTCAGCTGAGGTGGCTATCCCTGGTCATCTGCTCCTAGCTTTGTCTTGGAGAACTCAAAGAGTCAGGGTAGGGGGAGCTGACTGGAACGGGGAGCTCCCCCCACCCCTGCCTCCACCATAGACCCAGCTCATTCCTATGCTTGCCTCCACAGGCACTACATCCCCTATGTCCTAAGTGTGCTGGCTACACTCGAGCCTGGAGCACATTCTGCAATCTAATGTGGGGTCTGACATTTTCAGGAAGGTGGGCAGCCTCTCTGGATGTGGTAGCATGTATGTGCTGTGTGACTTCCAAACAGGGCTTGGCCTGCCTGTGGTCTAGCCCAGCCTTGCATTCTTTCCTCCCTCCCTGTCCCAGGAACACCAACCTTAGCCCTCCCTTCCCTTCACACCTGTGTCTACTTCTATAGCCACATGGTCCACCCAGTCCAGCCTCACCTACACATCCCCAGCCCTCCCTCACTCTGGGCTATAGGCAGCTTCTTGCCTATTTTCCATAGCAAGCCTGGGTGTTATTATTATTATTATTATTAAGTATTCCCTTTTCCCAGTGGCCTGGAGAGGTTTCATCACTTGCCTTACATTATTACTTAGCCTTGCTGTGACTCCAGAGCCAATACCTTCTTCCCTCTGTCCAATCCCCTACTCCAGGTTCTGATAAGAGAAATAAGACCAGAGAATTGCTGCCTCTGTATCATGGCACAATAGCTTGGGCTTAAAGCAGGCATCTCACCTGGGCATGTACACTCTTGTCCCAGAGCTGGACATAGTCAATGTTGAGCTCATACCCCTGGGATACCCCTTCTCTGGAGCCATCCCACCAGCCTGCACATCAGGTTGTTAAAGCTGTGTGCTGACCAACTGTACTGTTTAGTTCACTGTGCTTATCACCTTCCCAAACAATATCCTGGTTCTGCCTGGACCAGGGACCCTTGCATCCCAGAGGATCCTACCCCTGCTTCTCCCTCTGGTACCTGTACATCTGGCTGCAGCCCACACTGACACCTGACCCAAGCTGCCACTCTACCCAACCTCAATGTCCTTCTGGCACGTGGCACTCGTTCTGTGAACACTTCTCAGTTCCTTGACTCTGCCCGGGGCAAGTACTCATGACAAAGTTTCCAGATCTTCAAGTGTATTCAGCCTTCTCTCCCAAATATCTAGCTATCTACTCTTCCTCTCTCCTCACCACCATCCCTTACGGCACCAAGAGCCTTGGCAGGGACAGTGTGGTGCATTGACTCTTGCCAGATAGGCACCCTTCCCGCTGCCTCCACCACATTGCTAGCACTGCCCACAAGCCAAGCTGCATACACTGTAAATGTCACAGTTGCAGCTGTCCCACAGGGGAAGAGCCTGAGGCATGAGGTCATATAGTTCACCCTGCTGCCAGGGCACAATCTTGCACATTCTGCATGGGCGGCATCCCCCATGCCTTCTGAGGAGTGCCCCCACAAAAGGCTCTTGATGTGAGGCATACTGAGCCCCAAAGGGAGCAGGGGGTGCTCAGCGAGAAGATAGGAGGTGGTTGAATGAAAGTGGCCTAGGAGGGGCAGCTGCTACCACCCTAGGGACACCGCTAGCTTAATCAGGCTGATGGGGTAATGCCACCACTAGCCTGATGTTTATTCAGGCGGCTGACAGACTTTGCTGTTCCCAAGAGGAGAATAAACTATCTGTTCCTCTGGGTCTTAGAGCTAGGCTTGCCTCAAACTCTCTCAGTAGAAGTCCAGAATAATGGCTCCTTACTGAAACCAGAAAGGGGCTGGAGATTGTAAATCAATAAGCAGGGACCCCCTGGGGTCTAGAAGGCAAATGCTGCATGTTATAGGCAACTCCCAGCCTCATAGGGACAACCTCACTCCAGGCCCATGCTGACTGTTTCAAGGCATTTAGGAATGGGGAGACCTCCGTTCTTACAATATAGATACACAGGTTCTGCCATCCTGGCCTCCCAGAGTTATCAGTCCTGGAGCCATGGCTGCACAACAGACATATACATACCTCAGGCTCTCTTTGAGTGATAGACTTTTCTGTGGAGTCAGCATCTATACATCAGGTCACTCTAACTTAAGAGTTGTTATCTTTTGTGCTAGTATGAGGGCCTGAACTCAAAGCCTGGGTTTCTCTCTTAGAGAACTAGCCTTGAGCCAAAAAGCCTACCACTTGAGCCACAGTACTACTTCTGGCTTTTTGGTGGTTAATTGGAGATAAGAGTCTCATGGAATTTCCTGCCTGAACTGGCCTCAAACCTCGATCCTCACATCTCAACCTCCTGAGTAGTTAGGATTCCAAGTGGGAGCCCCTGGAGGCTGGCTTGTAGGTATTTTGGTTTGTCTGTTGCTTATTTCCCTCCTCATGGAGGCTGGTCTTCATTAGGGCAGGATCCTCACTGGTCTTGCTCACTAAACTGCTTGTAGCCCCCTGAGGGCCAGTACTGCACATGTCAGTGTGGTAACAGAGAAGTAGCATCTAGAGTCTCTGTACCAACTGGGTGTGAACCGCTCCACAGGTGCTTCCAGGTCATGGAAAGGTTGAACCCCACTAAGACAGGAAGTTCTCTTAGGCCCAGGAAGATGTTGGCTCTCATAAAACAGTTTCTTGCTCATATTTCCGCCCTCTTTTCCAGTGCATCAGTGATTCTTGTTGAAGTACAGATTCTGATCCAGCAGGGCTGGGTGGGGGTGGGGTTAAGAATCTGAATTTCTGCCAAGCGCTTGCATGACACCATGTAGCTCATCTCCCCACCAGCCACATCTGAAGCAGTGATGAGCCCAACATTACTGCTTCTCTACATATGCATATCCTTTCACGTATTCTGAAAGTTTGAAGCCAGACTTTAAATGGTAAAAGTGCTGGAGAAAAGCAAATCAAGGACATATTTTAGTCACCCCTTCTAAAATTGTTTCAAAAACCCACAGTGGCTGATTAACTTGTGTAAATAACAGGACTTTGGGATAATGATCTAAGTCACTGGGTAAGTGCAAGGCTGTATACAATGACAGAAGAACCAAAGGTCCTGAGTGTGGCCATGTCGCATTAGGAGAGCTGTGATAGGTTGGACATCCTGAAATGGGTGTCCCTGAAAACACTGCCTGGGGACACAGTACAGTTCCCAGCACAGGACTAGGCAGGCACTCTTCAGCCCCAATGGTTTGTTGCCTAGTGTTTCACCTTGTCTGTGTGGCTCAGGCTCAGAGAGGTCTCCATGAATCCTCTGTTCAAATCTCTTCTCAGGAAGTTTCTAAAAACCTCACCAAGAAAAATGAGCAAGTCAAAGAAGACATGGAAGAAATTCCGATGGAGATGAATAAGCGAGGCAAAGAGAACCACTCTGAGAACACTCTAGACAGCATGCAGGACCTCCGCTCAGCCCTGCAGAGAGATGCAGCCGCAGCCTACGCTCACCAAGAGGTACAGCCCCAACTCCTGGGAGCAGCTCAGCCCAGGAAATACAATGCCAGGGTCTCTCACATGCATAGAGCTTCCAGGGTCATGAGCTTACCTCATCTGTTTATTAGTTTCCTAGGGTTGACAGGCAGAAGTTGACCCCATTTCTCAACATTGAAGCCCAGAGAGGGTCTAGAAGTAAGGGATCAAGGCAGGACTCAAATCTGGGTCATCTGATTCCCAGCCGCATTCTTTCCATGATAAACCATCCTGACTTTATGGGCAGCTCTCGCATTGAGCTGTAAGGATATCAAGCTGTCCTGATATCATCATACTAGAGTTTGAACTCAGGGCCTTCCACTTGCTAATCATACCCTTTATGCTTTAATTATCTTTCATAGTCTCATTTACCTAGACAGAGCTCAGACTAAAGTCTGAGCTAACTCCCAAGTAGCTGAGATTATAGTTGTATGTCACTATGCCCAGCTCATTCGTTGAGGTAGAGTTTTATTAACTTTTTGTTTGGGCTAGCCTGCAACTGCAATCCTCCAGATGTAGTAGCTGGAATTATAGACATGTACCACCATTGAGACTCTGGTATCAACAGTAATAGCATCTTTTCCTCTTAGAAATGCCTGCATTTGGAACAATAAGTGAATTGGCCCACCGTTTATAAGTGACTTTGTCATTTCTACATGTTTTTATTACTATGGGTTTCACCATAGCTCTAGAAAGTGGGCCTGATCAAGGAGGACCACTGTGTTACAAAAGAAAACATAGATCCTGGAGTATTCCAGGTCTCCCAGGCTTGATGATAACAGAGGGTCTCTTCCAACTGATGGCCAAGGAATGAAGGTTAGTTTGGAAGACAGCCCCAGAGCATGGAAGAGGAAAATAGGTACAATTTAGAGTCCTATTAAGTAAACAGGGCAAGATGAAGATTTGAGGTCCCAGGGAAACAGGCACAGCCACATTTCAGCCATATTGCTCACTTTCATTGGTTCCCAATGGTCAGCAATGAATGGCAGGGCCATAGTACACTGGAGAGTTTTATTGAAGGATCCCTTCACCTTCAGGCAGTCACTGTGGGTGTGGGTTCCTGGTTGAGCAGGCAAGGGCCAATTACAGACCCAGAGCTCTGTGTGCGCTATGATGTAGAAAAGGTTGGGAAGTGTGCTACTCAGCTTTCTGTTCATGTAACAAAATAAGAGGCAAAGTTAGCTGGGTGCAGTGGCTCATGCCCATAATCCTAGTTACTCAGGAGACAGAGATCAAGAGGACAGCAGTTTGAGGCCAGATTGGGCAAAAAAAACCCCATCACTTTGGCATAGTGGTGCATGCCTGTCATCCCAGCTTTGATGGGAAGTGTAAGCTAGGACTGTGGTCCAGGCATGGACCTTGTCAAAAAATGAAACCTTATCTCAAAAATTACCAGTGCAAAACAATGGGTTGGAAGTGTGGCTCAGTAGTAGATGACTGCCTATCAAGTGCAAGGCCTTGAGTTTAAACCCCAGTACCTCTCCCTCCAACTCCCCCCAAAAGAAAAGGCTCGTTCTGGCTCATGGTTGCCTGGTTGAATTGCTTTGGGTAGAAAGTGTCCCAGTAATCTTTCTTCCACTAGACACTCCTCTTAAAGGTACACCACTCCCCAAAAGTACATGGTCTGGTGAGCAAGCCATCAATGCATTGTTTCCCAAAGGCGTAACTATAACAGGAAGCATTGCTTTGAGGGACTCTTGCTTTGTGATATGGAGGAAGGCTTAGGCATATGGGTAGCAAAACTTCACAGCAAGCATGTGGCAGGATTTGGGGACTTTTTGGGTACATGCATTCTGATGCCCAAACAGGCAGTCTAGAACTCTGAATCAAACAAGACCTGAGAAAGCATGGTGTCTATGCCTCCCCAGCATATAACTCAAAAACAATTCCAAACCGTAATGTAAGTAAAAGGAAAGTTAATCATTTTCTGGGCTTTATTTATGATGAGTACTTTGATGTATTTTGGAAATCACATTTCTTCAGAAATTATTTTTATCTTCATTTATTTGGTGTCCCCAACATGCTGGCTATTGAGTATGTGTTTAGTCTGCTTGGTGGGTCACTCCTGAGCAGGCTGAGCTCCTAAGAGCCAGAAGTCTTACTAGGACTGAAAGGGATTAGAGAGGAAGAACACCTGCTTGTCATACCTGGGGCCCAAGGGACATCTTCAGCCAGAGGGCCTTCCTGGCTCCCAGGCCAGCTAAGCTGGAGAGTTGATCTGTTGTCTCCATGACACATTCTGTGGGACATTCAGAGCCTAGCTTAGATTTCCTGAGGACAAACAGCAAACCAAATCAAACACATCAAATGTTTTTTTTCCTTGCTCAGCAAAGTCCTTACCCCTCCCTGCACCCCTATTCCAGACACTGCTGGAGTTAGCACAATCTGCTCAACCAGACTAGTGGGCTGGAGAGGAAAAAAATGAAGGAGGCCAGGAAGGTGGATTCTTCCTCTCCCTTAGCAACTCTCTGGAGATGAGCCCTATGCTCACTGGGAAGGGAGTGGATGATTTGTTTATTTCCAGGGTTTGCACATGATGTCAGAGGTTTCTTGGAATGGATAAGTGGTGATTTGTAGGAGGCAGCTCTCTAACATGGTTCTTGCTTGGAGGGTTGGCAGGGGGTTGGAGGGCTGGCTCAAGAGTGGATAAGGCAGGGTGGGGGTGGGAACAATCCATGCCAGGAGCTGAAGTCATGCAACAGACTCTTGGATGAACAGGGAGAAGAAATCAAAGTTTGGTAGGGGAAGTTGCCACCTAGTGTAGCCTGTCTCCAGAGAAGCCAAGGAAATTATATGTTCTCTGGCAAAGGCTGACCATGATCTTGCTCCAAATCCTTGGCTGGAACAAGGAACTGCAGACCCCACCCTTCTGTGAGAGTCTGGAATGAAAGGCAGATCCTGAGGTTTGCCACGAAAAAATGACAACCTGCTTTTGCAATGCAGAGGGAAACCAGGGTCCAGCAATTAGGTGCCCCTCCGCAAATGAGTCAGGAGCTGTGGTTGAGGCCTCTCAGCTTCCCAGGCAATTCTTCCCACAAGGAAATGAGGGCTCTTCTTTGTCTGCATGTCTGCTGGCCAGAGCCACACTGTGGTCCTGAGGATGTGGCCACTGCTAGCAAAATGTGGCTTACTGTGAGGCACAGCATGGTTTAGAAGGCAGCAGATCTGGGTCCACTGGATGGGCATGGGACTTCACTAGTGGCCCCTGTCAGCCATGGAATTGATTCATTTTGAACAAAAAATGACTTCAAGCCTCTGTTCTAATGTGCACAATAGTACCTTGCTCCTGATAAGGGTCAAAAGTCATAGAGCTATCAATCCACAGTCCTAATAAATGCTCAGTAAAACATTGTCACCAGGGCTGGGAAGGTGGCTCAGTGGTAGAGCACTTGCCTTGCATGCTCGAGGCCCTGGGTTTGATTCCTCAGCACCACATAAGCAAAAAGAAAAAAGCCGGAAGTGGCGCTGTGGCTCAAGTGGTAGAACGCTAGCCTTGAGCAGAAGAGCTGAAGGACAGCGCCCAGGCCCAGAGTTCAGGCCCCATGACCGGACCCAAAAAAAAAAACAAAAAAAAATTGTCACCAATAACCAGGTGGCAGAGGTCCCCTCCCTCTAAGATAGGAAATGAGGGAGAGCAGGTAAACAAGTGGAGGCTGCCTACAGCACAGTCAGCCTGGTGCCCCTTTCTTCTGGGCAGTTTTTTTAATAGTCCTGGAGCTTGAACTCGGGGCCTGGGCACTGTCCCTGAGCTTCTTTTGCTTAAAGCTAGCACTCTACCACTTGAGCCACAGCTCTTCGTCTGGCCTTTTCTGTTCATGTGGTACTGGGGAATCAAACCCAGGGCTTCATGCATGCAAGGCAAGCATTCTACCACTAAGCCACATTCCCAGCCCCTTCTGGGCTAGGAAGGCAGATGGCAAGGTGTGCCCCCACCTTGCAGGAGTCTATCTCCACTTTGTGCTCACTCCTACATATACTACATGTGTAGGAATACCATATTGGCCATGCCATTTGGACAACCTCAGTCATAGGAAAATAAGTACAAGGGAGGATGGTAGGAATGGAGGACTTGGGTTTCTCCATGATAGATTTAAAAGGTCAAAACATAAGCTTGCTTGGCTTCCTTTGTGCAAAGAGAAGCTGGCTATGATGCCACCATCCACAATCAGGCTCTGCTCTGTCTTAGCGCTGGGCATCCAGGGCAGAGGTCTTTCCCCAAGCATTCTCCTCACAGAATAGACTCACTCTCTACCCCCTTGTCTCTTTTTCTATCCCTTTTCTCTATCCCTCCCTTGTCTCCCTCTTTCTCCTCTTCTTTTTTCCTTCTTCTTCCTCTCTCTGCCTATACTACTAGGATTTGACCTCAAGGCCACACAGTTGCTAAGCAGATGCTCTAACACTTGAACAACAAGTCCAACCCATTTTTGCTTTATTTTTCAGATGGTGTCTTGTGCTAACTTTGCTCAAGGCTGGCCTTAGATTTCAATTCTCCTACCTATGCCTCCTATACAGCTGATGTGACAGCTGATGTGAGTGTGACCATCACACTCAGTTTGTTTATTGAAATGAAGTCTTACTAACTTTTTGGCCCAGGGTGACCCCAAATGGCAAACTTTCTGATCTGTGTCTTCTGATTAGCTAGGATTACAGAAGACCACACACATCCCTTTGGGTGATTTCACCAAAGCCTAGATTTGCAGGATTTGTGGGAGCCCACCAGCCTCCTCATGGTATGAAAGGAGTCTGATAGCTTAGGTGGCATAATCAGTGACCACATCCTCAAAATCCCCTCATGATTACAAGATAGCTCCTCAACTCTAGCCATATTGTTCACTTTTCAAGGCAGAGAAGGAAGAGAGCAAATATGTCTCCCTGCTTAATCAACCTTGTTTTAGAGAACTCTCCAAAAGTTCCTCCTACCACTTTCTTTGTCTCCCCCATGACCACACTCATAAAACCAGTTGTCTGTTAGTAAAGAACAGAAGAGGAGAGGCTTGGGATAATCAGAAATTTGTGCCATAGAGGAGTGAGGACTGTGAGGAAAATTGAGGGCCAAGGACTTGGTGTATTTGCCTGGGGACCTGAGATTCCAGAGGGACCACTAGCAATGGGTAGATTCCAGTAAGTAGCTAAATGTGAGGCTGGGGTATGGAAAGGGACATAATGGCTTCCAAACAGGAAAGACCTAGCAGTTCAGGGGAGCCAAGAGGTCTGGGAGACAGCTACCTGACTGGGGTACCTGGGGTGGAGGAGTGAAGGAATGGGCAAAGAATCAGAGAAAGACTGCTGAGATGGGTCAAAACCAAATTTTGAAGAGATCTAAAGGGCAGATAAATAGTTTAGGGCTTTGTATGCAAGTAGAGAATCTGCAGCTGGGGAGAGCTAGGTGTCTTAGAAGAAAGTTTCCCAAGTTTGACCAACAGCCAGGCTTCATCTTGAGCTAGTGCATCCTGGTCCTCCTGTTTCATAGTCCAATCCAGCATTCTTCCTCCCAGTCTCACTGGAAACCACTTAGATCTAAGCCATGCAGCATCTCTGGGTCAGAGCTGAAGGGGAAATGCATTTTCTTAGGCAGAGGAGCAATGAAGTCAGAGATTCTGGAAACAGACAGCTTGGGTTCATGTCCTGCCTCTACCACTTAGCTATGGCCAATGCCTTCGCTTTATATCTTTCGTAATCTTCAAATGATAAAAGGGGTCTCACACAGGACTGAGGCAAAAGCTCATCAGTTGGCATATTCATACGCATGTAAAGCTTGCAGAACAGGATGGCTCAGAAGAAGTGCTGCCCATGCCCATACTATGCCCTCTGATCAGTGACCTGCCTTCCCTTCTGTCCTCCTCTGGGGAACAGTATGAAGAACGCTTCCTGCAGGAAGAAACCGTGTCCCAGCAGATCAACTCCATCAAGCTCCTGCAGACTCGGCCCCTGGCCCCACCTGAGGTGGTGAAGCCGCAGCGCCCCTTGCAGAGGCAGGTCCACTTGAGGGGCAGGCCAGCCTCCAAGCCCACTGTCATCCGGGGCATCACCTACTACAAAGCCAAAGTTTCTGAGGAAGAGAACGACATGGAAGAGCAGCGTGAGTTGGAGTCAGCTGGGTTGCCCAGAGGAAGGACAGGGAGGGATTGCCACTGGGACCATGTGGAGATGGATTTCCTGGGAGCCACATACCCTATCCAGTCTGATTACTGCTGCATCCCACACTGCAGTTACAGGTTATCCAGTGTTCCTGTGCTTAGCCTTACCCTTGCTGAGCTGCCTTGAGCAAGTCACTTGCTTTTGCAGAAAAGCGTATGCCAAAAGCATGACAGAGTTGGAAGGGACTCAAGGGCCTTTTGTCCAGTCCTCTGTTTGTAGATGAGGAAACAGAGGGAGTGACACACAGTAGTATCTGCCACCCTTTCCTTGGCTGTTTGGGTCTCTAGCACCATCCCCTTTTGATCTTTATCTTTCATCCATTTTCATAGGAGGTAGAAACTCAACATTTTGGTTTTCATGTTACCTCTTCTTGTGTTTATATACTTGCCAGCTTCCTCCTGTACTTCCTTGTCCAGAGCCCCCTACCAAAGCCCTCCACACGTCTTTCTCCAAGCTAGCCACTTCCCTAATCCAGCCTACACACCAGCTTTTTGACTGTCCCCTTGCTTCTGCCTTTCCCTCCATCCAGTTTGCTCCCCAGCCAGAAGCTGGCCTAATCATTTTATCTATTTTAACTGCATTTGTCATTGATTGGTGGGAGTTCTTTATTCTGGATACAAATCTAGATATGCACATAGTTTCTCCCTGCCTGTGGTTTGCAAATTCATTTCCTTCATGGTGTTTTTGATAAGTATATGAAATCCAACTTACCAGTTATCATGTTTAAATTCTTTTAGTTGTCCACAGGAGTTGTCATTCAACAAAGCAGTTTATGCATACAATGCATCTTGATCAGTGTCACCCCTTTCATCATTCTCCCCCATCCCTACTTAGTCCTTCCTTTAATTTTCTTAATTTTGTAGGACATGCATTAAATATTATGACTGCATTCTCCCACTTTCTATAGTTAGAACTCTTTGTATCTTCAAGAAATATTTCCATTCTCATGTTCTATCTTTGCTTAAGATCCTCCAGCCTCTTCCATTTTACTTATAAGGAAAACAGAAGTCTGTGTACAGCTCCAGGCCACACAAGGTCCAGCTTGGTTCCTTCTCTGACCTCACCTGTTACCCTCCCCTTCCCACCCTCAGCTTCATCTGCATGGACCATCTCACTGCTCCTCCACCTCCACAGTGTTTTCCAGACTCAGGGTCTTTGTACTGCCATTTCCTCTTAAATTCTTCTCTCCCAGTGCTGCATGGCTGACATCTGTATGTTCTTCTGGACTTTCTTCATCTGTTCAGCTCAACATTATTGCACAAATGTGTTGAGTGAAATGAACTGGATGACTCACCTCCTCCCAGCCATCAGAGTTCATCCCCTCCTACTGGTGACCCCTGGGTCTGAGATACATAGTAACAGTGGTGTGTTCAGAGAAAAATAAACTTCACCTGGAATCCTCAGCACCCTCTAAAATCGCAGCTAGCCTGCACCCCTAAACCCAGCTGTTATGTTGTAGAAAGGAGCCTTGTACTCACTCACCTGCCACCTGCTCTTGGTCTGGCATTTGTTCCACAGATGAACTTTTCAGTGGTGACCATGGAGTGGATTTACTCATTGAAGATCAGCTCCTGAGACAAGATGACCTACTGACCAGTGCCACCCAGAGGCCAGCAGTCACCCATCCAGGGACTGTGGTGACCACTGACTCCTCAGTAGTGCTACCAGTCTCCACCTCGGTGCTTGACCTTCCTGCCTCCATCCACCATGCCTCAGCTGGACAACTCTCCATCACACCAGATACGAACTCCGTGGTTCTAGACACCATGGTGGAGGCACCTTCTACCCAGGTCCCAGCCACCACTGTGGCCTACACAGCCACCCTACAACCCCCAGCTGCAGCAGCCCCCACAATGGCTCCTGAAGACGCCTTTGTGGAAGCTATGCACATGGCTCCACTGCCTCCCTTCACAGTCAGAGGAGCCCTACTGGGGACAGATGCAACTGCTGGGCAGGGAACAACCCCCACTGGTGGTCCCGAAGAGGAAGATGACATCCGGAATGTCATAGGTAAGTTCATCCTACTTGGCCTCTGGGTCTGGTCAGCTCAGGTAAAAAGGTAGAGCTAGGAAATAGATTGAAGGAGAAGAGCCAGATGGCCAAAGCTTTGTTGGTCATGGTGGTTGTGGGGTTTGAACTCGGGGTCTGGGCTTTTTTGCTCAAGGCTAGTGCTCTACAACTTGGAGGCACAGCTCCACTTAAGAGTTTCACAGACTTTCCTACCCAGGCTGGCTTTGAATTGCAATCCTCAAATCTCAGTTTCCTTTGTAGCTAGGATTACAGCCATGAGCCACTGGTGCCTGACTCAAAGCTCTTCATAAAGAAAGTTAAGTGTGTGGGGGAGAAGACTTCAGGAAGGTACATGTTCAGCAGGGATTGGCTCAGTGGTAGATTCAGCATGTGAGGGACTCTGGGTTCAATCCCTCCATCATAAAAAAACAAAAACAGTGACAAAAAAAGCAAATGAAGTTATTTAGTAATTATGAAGATTAGTAATTAGTTTTTAACATCTGGTAGGGCTCACTTGTTGGTTCTGGAAACTGAACTCAAGGCCTTGAATTTGTAGGTAAATGTTCTACCATTTGTACCATATACCTACCCCCTTTTGTTTTGGGCTGGCCTCAACCCTTGATGCTCCAACCTCTGCCTCTCAGTAGCTGGGATTATAGGCATGAAGCAGCTTTTTCATTGGAATGGAACCTTGCTTAACTTTTGGCTTTAATCCCTCCTGACCTCTGCCTTTGGCATAGCTAGAATTCCAGAAGTGAGGCAGCATGTGTGCATGACAGAAGTGGGACTTTTTTCTAAAATCTATATGAATGCATGGAGCAAGATCTTCCCTTCATGAGTTGGCATTATGAACATTTACTGAGTAGACCCCCACAATCAGGCTGTGAGTGAACAAAAGGATTGACTATGGGAAAAAGTCTCAGCATCAGAGCAGAGTGGGGAACAGGAAAGTAACCAGTACCATGGTCCCTGGGGGGTAGAGTTCCATGAGCCCCAAAATTGGGTGGAACCTTTGTGACATATGACGCTATCACAGAGGGATGGAGAAACAAGAAAGAGATAGGCTGGCTGGCTGATGGGGAGGCTGGGGAATGTTGTTAAAGGCAGTATTGTTTTAAGATGGTTTTTAAAGGGTGAATGGGAGCTTGGTCTGTAGAAAAAGGAAGACTTTTGATGTCTAAGTCTAAAGGAATGAATTCCAAAAGCAAGAGGAATGCAGCTTCTTTCTGAACCTGAATGCTTGATGGCACCACATGACTAAGAACAGTGCAACAGGAGGGAGGGGGGTGAAAATAGCTATGAAGAAACTACACCAAAAAGAACTGAGCCAACCATTTATCAAGTCACCGTTCAAAGTGACTAAATACTACTACTGAACAGCTATTTTCATGTGTGTATATGTGCCAGTACTGGGACTTGAACTCAGGACCTCTTGCTCTTAGCTTTTTTTCTTCAAGCCATACATCTACCACCTGAGCTCCACCCCTACTTCTGCCTTTTTTACTAGTTAGTTCAAAATAAGAGTCTCATGGATTTTACTGCCTGGGATAGCTTTGAACAGTAATCCTCAGAACTCAGCCTCCTAAACAGCTAGTATTACAGGCATGAGCCACCAGCACCTGGCCAGAACAGCACTCAAAATATTTGTTGAAAAATACACTTGCTTTGACAGAGGATGGGGCTTGTTCCTAATCCTTAATCCGTGAGCACCAAGGTGAAGGGAGAGCACCTGCCAAGCCATGTGGCCAGGTGCAGCCTGGTTCCTGGCACTAATAGCCTTTGCTGGGACCTTTGCTAAATCTCTGCCTTGCTCTTGATATGAATGGAAATTAGAAATTTGCCAAAGACTTATTCCTTCCTATTCTTTAGTCTCCTGTAGGAAGTTTATGGGGACACAGTAGAGCAAAGGTACTTACTGGGTGAACATCCCAGAATAAGGGCAGAGTGGTGCCAGCAAAACAGGTTGGAGGGATGGACCCCAGGGTCCATAAGCCCTGGAATAGGAAAAAGTTTTCCTTTCTTCGCTTTCCCTTTTGTGATGCAATCAAACTAGCCATGCAAGGCCTTTGAAGCAGTGGTCCTGCCTGGGCATCTGAGCAAAGGCTTCTGCTTCCACCCTAACTCTGGCAGCCTTGAAACTGGAGTCCCAGAACTCAGCACTTCACTTCCCCATCTACGCTGTGTGAGTTCCAGTCCCATACCTCCACCCTCATCTTGTCATCCTCCAGTGGAAGGGGAAGGGCCTCTGGGTGCTTAGAAGTCTGTCCCCACCACCCTACTGCAGGTGGTGAGAAGATAGTGTGTCCTCTGATGGTGGGTTGGAGCCTGGGAACCTCTCCCTTTCTCTGCTGGCCAAGAGTGGAGCCCCTTGCCACCATCATAGCCTACCTCCTAGCCTGGTCCTGGCCCCAAACCTCTCTTACTTGCTTCCCCTGGGTTTTGCATCTATGAGATTTTCTGGCATGTTCCTTTCTAGGATTCTTAAGACCCTGCCCCCTCCAGAAACCTGAGTTCTCTTACATAGAACCTCCAAGTCCTGGCAGCCCACAGGTAAACAGGGGAGAGAACATATGTTCTCCTGTGATAAATGTTGGGCAAAGAATGTAAGACTGTTTTTACACCTGTAGAGGCTTGGCCTGGTGGAACAGACTTGTAACCCCAGCTACTTGGGAGGCAGAAATAGGTTTGTGATCTGAAGCTTAACATAAAATTAGTGTGAGACTATCTCAAGAACAAAAGCAAAACAGACTAGAGCATGACTCAAGTGGCAGAGAGTTTGCTTAGCAAGTGTGAGGTCCGGAGTTCAAAACCCAGTACTACCAAAAGAAACTAATCTGCAGAGTTTTCAGAAGAGCTGGACTTCTCTTATATCTACTCATAGAAAACCTGGGTGCAGACACAGATATGCAGTCCCCACATATACTGAGGATTGTCTTGGAAGAAGAGTTTGGCTGTTCAAGCCATGTGGGACATTTAACAACTTTTAGGGAATCATTTTGAATCATTAATTAGCTACCAAGTGTTTCCTTCTAGCTGCCTTAATATAGAGAGGTTTCCACACTTGAACCTTCTCTGCAGACCCCCTGGCTCACCTGGGCCTGGCCAAGCAAAGTAATATGCTGACATCCCACAGCCATCAGTTCAATAAGAAACATTTAGCTGAAACTGACCTGGGCCGCTGTCTTGCTACTGGGAAGGGCTGGCTTGCTATTTGATGGCAATTATGATTGTTGAGCTGCTTAACATGTGGTTTTAAACAGGGTTGTCTTTAAAACATCTTATCCCAGGTTTCCAAGCTTGATTTTCTGGTCCTAAAATAACTTTTATTACACTCAGAAGAGTTTTAAATTCACAGAAGTATTCCAAACACAAGTAGAGGAGGATTATTCTTTTTTTTTTTTTTTTGTCGGTCATGGGGCTTGAACTCTGGGCCTGGGCACTGTCCCTCAGCTCTTCAGCTCAAAGCTAGCACTCTACCACTTGAGCCACGGCACCACTTCTGATTTTCTGAGTGGTTTATTGGAGATAAGAGTTTCACGGACTTTCCTGCCCAGGCTGGCTTTGAACTGCGATCCTCAGATCTCAGCCTCCTGAGTAGCTAGGATTACAGGCGTGAGCCACTGGCACCTGGTGAGGAGAATTATTCCTGACTGTGCAAATGAGCCATTGGTATGTCTTAGCTGGAGCATAAAGAGAGGAAATACTGGCAGTGATGAGCACTGGGCTTAGGGAGGAAGGCTGGGTGGAGGGGAGCAGTAGCCTCACAACCAGGCTGAGAAAGTCTGTGGGGGTGCTAGTGCCATGAGGCTAGGGCTTTGCAGATTCCTAGATTTTATCAGTGACAATTCCTGATGCATTTTAGAAGCTAATTTGGGATGAGGGTGGAAAAAGATAAAAAGTACTTTCAGAGAACCATCAGCTAACATCAGTGTCAGTAAGAGCTCATCTTATATTTGAATCTGCAAAGGATGTCTCTACCACACAGTGCTTGGTCTTAGCCACCCCCAGAGCTTGTGAGATGGCTAGGCTGTCCTGGCTTTCCAGAGCCTCCACAGAGCCCAGATTCTTCCTAGTCAGCTGCCTTCAGTCTCCTGGCTAGCAGTGCCCATCTTGAGTCCATGGGCATACCTGTGAGTCCACTAGCCTAGGCCCCCAACCCATCAGGGCCTCTACCATAGTCATATCTCAGGGGCTGCTAGCTCTAAAAAGATGAGTATAAGGAGCTATTCCTTGTAAATAAATGCCTCCTGGCCAGGGTGAGGCTCACTCAGCCAGCCCCTCTTTGTGTGGGCTGCAAAGAGTCACACTGAGCACGACACAGTCATTTCTGTGAGGGGCTAACTGCATGGGAAAGGCAGGTGGCCAAACTAGAGAACATACAGTTGTGTGGTGGCAGGCAGTGGTCCTTATGGTCCTGTTCTGCAGCGGGACTCCCTCTTCTGAGCCTCACAGTACAAAAAGGAGCCCTGAGGAAGAGGCAACAGTGGGAGCCAGGGAGGACAGGGTGAAGGGAAAAGTAGCAGGAATATATGGGCACAGACTAGGCTGGAAGAATGGCAGGATTTCTGGTGGGAGAGCCAAGACCTGATGATGGGGGATGGGGAATAAGACAAGACTAAAGGCTGCAGGTGATTGTGAGGGTTGTAAGCACAGAAACAATGCACAAATTTGGTCAGTGTGGACATTGAGCACTGAATGATGTATGGGTACTTGCATGTCAGATGCCATGACAGCTCTAGCAGGAGCCTTGGTTAGAGCTTGTGTGTCATGCACATAGGCTTATGGAAGACCAGTGTTGATTGTAAATGTGATTATAGCCCAGCAGGGAACTCAGTGGGACCATACAGAGGTGGGGAAACCATACAGGCAGCTGATGGCACAGCAAGAGCCCTAGGGCAGCCTGGACTCTTCTGGAAAGGGGGTTAATTTGGTGTTTTATGCCACTGTAAGTAGAAAAATATTGAAAATTCAAATAGCATGAGTTTTACCATTCATCTTTA